GCGCTATCTGGTCTATCTTGCCTTTGAAAGACTCTAACTTGAGCTTCGGAGCCCTTACGTCGGGTTCTCCCCGGAGCTTCTCTTCTTCTTCCGTTTCAGGTCCCTGCCACTCAGTTTAGAGGCAAGATCGTTGACAGCTAAGATCGGTCGGATTGTGCATCATCAAAAACCCTTGTCGGACTCCCTTAATTATGTATTTCTTGGACCCGACCAAACACTACCAGTAATTATAGTAGCCGATTTAACCCCTATACAAGAAGAGAAACTAATTAATGTCTTAAAAGAGTATAGGGGTGCCATTGGTTGGTTGGTGGCTGACCTAAAAGGGATTAGAGTGTCCATTTGTATGCACCATATTTATACAGATGAGGGTGCCAAACCAAGTAGGGAAATGCAAAGGTGGTTGAACCCAAATATGAGAAAAGTGGTCAAGCAAGAAGTAGTCAAGTGGTTGGATGCAGGTATTATCTACCCAATTTCAGATAGCAGTTGGGTAAGTCCTATGCAAGTGGTGCCTAAGAAGGGTGGACTCACCGTGGTCACCGGCGATCAAGGTGAAATGATCCCCACCCGGCATACCACGGGATGACGAGTATGCATCGACTTTAGGAAACTCAATGCCGTTACAAAAAAAAATACCACTTCCCTCTACCCTTTATTGACCAGATTCTGGAAAAACTTGCAGAGTAGAAATATTTCTGCTTCTTAGATGGGTATTCTGGGTATAACCAAGTAGCCATTTACCCTGAAGACCAAGAGAAAACTACTTTCACCTGTCCATATGGCACATTTTCTTTCTGAAGAATGCCGTTTGGATTATGTAATGCACCAGCAACCTTCTAGTGGTGTATGATGGCAGTTTTCTCGGAAATGGTAGGTGACTTTCTGGAAATATTTATGGATGATTTCTCTGTCTTCGGGGATTCCTCCGAAACTTGTCTCGAACACTTATGAAAAGTTCTTCAATGATGCGTCGAGACAAACTTGGTACTCAGTTAGGAGAAGAGTCACTTCATGGTCGAAGAGGGTATTGTCTTAGGCCACATAGTTTCCAAACAAGGTTCATTAAAGGCTTTTCCAAACTCCCACCTCCCACCTCTRTCAAGAAAATATGCTCATTTCTAAGACACGCTGGTTTCTATCATCGGTTCATTAAGGACTTTTCCAAGATCTCTATGGCTCTGTGCAATACTTTGGCGAAGGATGTCCCATTTAATTTCGATGAGGCTTGTCTTAAGGCTTTCGATTATAGATAACTCTGCATTTTGATGCCTTAAGGGCATCAATTCAGGGGTATTTTCAGTCTTAGAATAGTCAAAGTATGCCCTTTTCCCAGTTAAATTTAATGTTGTGACCTCTGAGGGTTTCCGTGCAAAACTGGGCTGGTTTCATGGCTAAATTGGAGTTTTTTGGAAGTTGGTGTGAAATCCAAGTGAGAGAAGGGGTGTTTTAGTGAAAAACTAAAAGCATGAGGGCGCCTCCTAACTGCTAAACCCAGTTTGGCACCCCTCCTACTGTATTAGCATGCTCCCCATGCCTTAGCAAACCCTAGGGCACCAATTAACCCATTCTTTTCACTCTTAACAAATCCTAACCACCCCTAACTGCTAAATCCTCACCTTCCATCCCTTCTAATCTCCACCATCCATTCTAGGGCACCCTCCTTTTAGCAATCTAACCCTAAGGAGCCACCTAACTTCTAATCTTCTGTATTTTGATGCCTTAAGGTAATCAATTCAGGGGTAGTTTCGGCCTTAGAGTATGACCTCCAACAGTAACTCCTCATAATTGTTATATAATCTATATCGACARTATGCCGAGTTTGGGAATTAGTGAATGCAAATGTGTCATGGTGGTTTTCTCCATTAAGCTCTCAATTCGTCAAAACTAGGGCTCTACATGTAAATTTAATTTTGGGTTTTGGATGCGTTTTGCAATGGAAGGTATGTATCATGTCTCCCCTTGGTACTTATTAAAATAAATTAACGGCTAAGAGCATAAACATTTGACTCATGACATGTGGTTGGATGTGCAAAACATTTACCGCTTCTCACGGTTGTCTATCTTAGAAAAGAGTGGTAAATCCAAGAGATTTCCTTATTATGTTGAAGTATAAGTTCTCCCAAATAGGGATGGAATTTTAATTCAGCATCACAGCTTAGGAAGGAAGCAGAGGACAAGAAGAGAAAAAAAAAATGGATTCCAATTTGAATCTTCAAACGATACTTCTATTATTCTTTTTGGTGTATGTTGTAGAGGCCCAGAATGGAGTCTTCGATATCACTGCATATGGTGGAAAAGACGGTGGAGACATCACCCAGGTTAAGATTTTATCAGAAATAACAATGGTCTAAACCATCTTAATATATCTAATGATTTGTATTGATTTACTCTAAGAATTTCCATTCATTAGGTTGCTTATGAGTTTTCTTTCTATAACACAAAGTATTTTTTTGGCATCTGTATGATCAGGCTGTGATGGACGCTTGGAAAGCAGCATGTGCAGCAACAGGGGCAGCTACAGTTTTGATTCCAAAAGGGACGTATACAATGAATTTAGTAAATTTGGCAGGTCCTTGCAAGCAAGCACAAATGAACTTTCAGCTTGAAGGGATAGTTCAAGCTCCTGCTGATCCAGCTGCCATGGACTCCGAAAGTTGGCTTCTTTTTGATCATGTCGATGACCTGACGGTCTTTGGAGGTGGAACCTTGGATGGTCAAGGACAAAAGGCTTGGGAAAGCAATGAGTGTTCCAAAAACTCAAAATGCCCTCAAATGCCAGCAGTGAGTTTCTTCAAAACATCAAGTACTAGAATTATAGACTATACTTTCTAAATAATAAAATGGCCTAGGCTTTGGTTTGTAGATGGCATGCACAATACTAAAATTTACCTTCATTTTATGAACAAATAACAGAATTTAAGACTCAACTTCGTCAATAACGGTGTGGTCCATGACATAACCTCATTGAATAGTAAGATGATTCACATCATGATCTTGAGTGCAAACAATTTGACTATTCAACATGTTACAATCACGGCACCGAGTACTAGTATTAACACCGATGGCATCCACATTGGAAGATCAACCGGAGTAAAAATTTTGGATACAACAATTGGCACAGGCGATGATTGTGTATCGGTGAGTGACGGTAACAAAGACATAACTGTCAGCAAGGTAACATGTGGACCAGGGCATGGCCTTAGTATTGGTAGCTTGGGAAAATATGACAATGAAGGACCTGTGGTTGGAGTGCATATAAGCGACTGCACTTTGACGAAAACAGATAATGGTGTAAGGATTAAATCATGGCCCGACTCTAAACCCGGAAGTGCCTCTGATATCTCTTTCGAGAATATAGTGATGAACGATGTTGGTAATCCAGTTATCATTGATCAAGCATACTGCCCATACGGTGGATGTAGCCAGGTAATTTCTTTATGTACTTATATTTTGACTATACCTATACATAAATAAGAAACCATCTTAGTACGTAGTATCTTGAACATGAAGATTAAGCTAGTGTAATATATATTAACATTTCTTTCTATTTTTCCTGTGTAGGCACCATCGCGTGTTAAGCTTAGCAATATCAAAATTGCAGGGATTAAGGGCACCTCATCAACACAAGAAGCTGTAAAAATCTTTTGTAGCCCAGCTTTGCCTTGTGAGAACGTGGAGATCGGAGATATCAACTTGGCTTTTAGCGGAGGAGCGGCGACTTGTACATGTGCAAATACCAAGCCCACCCTTACCGGCACTCAAGTCCCACCTGTTGTTTGCACTTAATTAATTCCCTTACGACCTATTAAATTTAGGTTGTGTCAAAGGAGGCCTTCGATATTGTTTTTCACTTTAGAAGAAGATTCTTTCTTTTAGATGTTCAATCAATTGCTATGATTGAACTCTTCTCTAACATATTTTTTGAATTAAATTCAAATTCTACTACGCATTCAACCAAAATCTATCATTTCTAGTACCATATAAAGCAGAAACTTGCCTAGGTTTCTCTGCATGTCAAAAAACTCGAATCCAAATACTACATAACACGTGCTTTTATACTAGCTTATTAAAATTCCAAAGCTCATCATTTGTTTTACCATTGGGTCTTATCATCTAATCATAAATGATTTTAAAGTTTCAAAAAAAATATAGATGTTCTCCGACTCGACTCGAATTTAAATAAAATGGACAAAAATGCCCATGTACATCCAACATGGCCAACAGATTTACCATGTCAAAGATCAAATTCTTGACCTACAAGATCAGGCCCTAAATCTCTCTCAAAAAATATTTCCTATTAGCCTTATGTAAACCAAAGTTAATTTCATTATGTTGATATTTCATTAGAAAAAATATCAGAATTTGGATTGCACACAGTGGCATTCTCCAAAATTTGGATTGCTTTCATTGGAGATGTTCAATTATATTAAAATAATATTCAGTGGAGATTCCAACGTTTATGAAAAATGAGAGTTTTAATGATTTTCTCTTAATAGAAATCTGTTTCAAGAGAAGCCAACTGGAAATTGAATGAATTTATATATTAGTTAGCACTTCATATATTTCTTTTGCATTTGCTATTTTGATTTGTTCTTAGCCCGTCAATTTCAAGAAACAAACCTTTAAAAGTTGATGGGAATAAACCATTACAAAAACTCTGTCACAATGAATATTGAAATGCATACACAAAAAGGCTTTTGTTTTACTTACAAAAAAGGGTTGTCAAATTATACAATTGAGGAAGAAAAATATATAGCAATCAAATAGCATACACATGACAATTTATCATGTTGACCAAAAAATCCTATGAGTCCCCTCTCTTGCCCTACATATTGATTTACATTGCATTATCAATAAAAAAAGAATAAAAGTCAAACAGATGGGATCATTCCTTAAAGGTTTAAATTATATAATTTTTTTAATCCTAAAGTTTACTCCCAGTGGAGCGATGGCTAGCATAAAATTTAATAGGCTAGATTTATTAAACTACCCTTATTGTTTAGCTAATTGTCAAGTTGTACCCTTTATGTTTATAAATTGTCTTGGACACCGTTAATGTTTTTGACAATCGTCACCCCTATTAAATTGTAACAATTTTATTCAAATATCATTTATGCCCTTTCGTTATGTTGGACCAAAATTCTCTCAAAATGAAAATTGTTGTATTAACCCTCAATAGTTATTTAATTATTCAATTAAATAACTAATTAAAGGGCAACTAAATAAAGCAACAAATAATTATTGTAAATAGAAAATAAAAAATTAATTGTGCTAAAAAAAATTAACAACTACCAAAATAAATTCATACAAAAAAAAGATTATGTGGCAATAAAAAAATAAAATAAAATAAGTGAACAAATTGTTTTATCTAAAAATAAAAAAACAAACAAACCTAATAAAAGAGAAATTCGAACAAGAAATTAAAATAAAGAAAAAAATAGATCTAGAAACAAAACGAAAAAAAAATTATACTAAAAAAAATATAAATCGGATCTAGAAAAAAAATAATTAAAAATTTGAAAATTACTATTCTACCAAAAAAAGAGTTAAAAAATAAAAATCAAAGAGAAACATGAATTAAAATTAGATTACAGATCAAGTAATCAAACGAAAAAAAAAATAATGAAACATATCCGGACAAAGCAAATAAAAATTGTTCTCCGTTGCTTCCCCAGCAACGGCACCAAAAACTTGGTGTATCCGGAAGTGTGTCGTTAACCACTTTGGAACACTAGGTTTAATATTTGTAAGTTTCTCTGTTTCTCATAACAATTACAAAATAGTAAATGGTGAGAACGGGTCATATCCACAGGGAAGCGAGGGAAAAATCGTTACAAAATTTAATCCGGATAAAAGAAAACAAGGGGAAGTTGTAGAAACACAAAACTTTAATTAATTAAACTGGAATCCATTAAAATAAAATTCAAACAAAGCTGGAAGTGAAAAGTGCAGAATAATTAATAAATGACAGAAGTAAATAAATAAAATAAACTAAAAAAAAGTTTGTAATTCTCTAGATCTCTCCTTTGACCCTCGAACTCCTCAAGCTAGGCCTTCCGTTTTACCTGGCCGAACCCCAGATCTATAGAAAAGCAAGCAAAAATTAAATTAGATAAAAAAATTGCAGAAAGCAAATAAATCAGAACTATAAATTAAAGAATAGAAATTAAAACTAAAACTAAAGTAAATTGGTTGGGATCTGAAATCAGAGGTGGTAGTAGTGGTTTAGGCGAACTGTTGGTGCCGTTGCCGAGGATCGAACCCGGGTCACCCGTGTGACAGGTGGGAATACAGATATCAACTGTAAATCGGGAGAATTGAACATTTCATTTGGGGAGCAGAAAGTCCAACTAAATGTATTTAGTGCCACTAAGTATCCAAACCTAGGGGAAGATGAGTTCAAGGTAGATGTAGTGGACAATCTTTTAGATGCCTTTTCTGACCCTTGGTTAGCCCAATCTAAACGCTGTTTGTGTGAAGAACAAAGTGAGCCTTAGAGTGTAGATGGGAGAAGTGCGTGAATGTGTCCGACTGAAGATGTTAAACTTAGCGCTGGTTGGGAGGAAACCAAACGTAGTTTCCAGTTGTTTTTAGGATTAGAGTTTTTGTTTCGTGATTCGAGACCAGTTGACAGACCTTAAACCCTTCAAGAAAACCCTATTGATTGTTCCCTTTGGCCCAAGTCCCTTTGCAACATTCTAGTCATGCCATTAGGGACAATGGCATTTAAGTTGGGGGCTGAGGAAAGAGAGAAAATATTGAAAATTGAAAAAAAAGAAAAAAAAATTGAAAAGCAAAGCTTTTAAATATGTAGAATTAAAATTTCACTAAAAATTTTAAAAATTCATTTCATTAAAAGAGATTTCCAAACAGAAAAATTGAAAAGCAAAGCCTTTAAATATGTCTGAGAATCCGATCAGAGGTTGCAGTTTCCTTCCAACCTCGAACTTCTCGATCTAGGCCTTCCGTCTTACATGGCCAGATTTCAGATCTATAGAAGAGAGTTACCACACAAATTAAATCTAATAAAAGTAAATTTACATGAATGAAAAATAAACTAAAATTAAAGAACAGAAAGTAATTCAAAAACTGAAGAAAATATGGTTGGGATTCAAATCCAGAGGTGGCAGTAGTGGTGTTGGTGAACTGCAAGTAGGAACCCCTCCTCTTGCTTGAGCGTCCTCCTCTTCCTCTATCCTTGAACTTTCAAGATCAACCTTCCTTCTTACTTGGGTGAATTGGCCATCCCCTTCTACAGGGCCCATGAGACCCTTTTTATAGAGAAGGGTGGACACAACTGGAAATAGTGAGAAAAATGGGGGGCGACAGCTGGGATTTAGCAAAGTTAGCGATGCCCTAGGGTTTCTAATAGATGGCTAAGATGGTTTTAGGGTAATCCTAGGCTGAAAATTGAAGAAGAGGGCACCCAATATTATGTAGGGCTGAGATTTGGACGCCCAGAAATGGAAGGTGTAGATTAGAACATCTAGGGTTGAAGGGTTAAGATTAAAAGAATATGTGGTGCCTTAAATTGAATGGTTGGGATATAGGATGGAGGGAGTGGTTGAGATTTAATGGTGAGGAACTGAATGGTGAGGATTAGCAGAATAGGTGGCACCCTAGGGTTTAGAAGCTACAAAGGAGAGCCTAAAATGGATGGTGGAGATTAGAAGGAGTGGATGATGGAGATTTCACATATGGGGTGGCTAGGGTTAGCTAAGGAGTAAAAGATTAGGTTAAAAAGGCTCCCTAAGGTTTGCTAATGAGAGGGGAGCATGGTTACACAGTAGGATGGGTGCCAACTGGGTTTAGCAGATAGGAGGTGCCCTCCTGTTCTCAGTTCTTTACAAAAACACCCCTCTCTTAGTTGGACTTCACACCAGCTTTCCAAAAATTGCATTTCAGCCATGAAAACTTCCCAGTTTTCTACATAATTTGCATAGAGAGCCTTGAAAGTCACATAATTGATTTTAAACAGGAAAATGGTGCACTTTGACTATTCTAAGGCCAAAAATACCCCTAAATTGATGCCCTTAAGGCATCAAAATGCAAGGTTATCACACCCCCCAACTTAACCATTGCTAGTCCCTTAGCAATGCAACCTTAAAATTACACTAAGTATATAGATCTTTCCCATTACAAGGTCATCCCTAATAGAATTAATCAAGCATCCTAATTCTAGC